GGAGCAGGTGCAGGCGGCGCTGGAGGTTATGGTGGTGGCGCCGGTGCTGGTGGCCGTGGTGGTGCCGCTGGAGGTTTCGGTGCAGGAGGGGGAGCAGGTGCAGGCGGCGCTGGAGGTTTTGGTGGTGGCGCTGGAGGAGCCGGCGGTTTCGGTGCGGGAGGCGGGCCAGGCGCTGGGGGTACTGGTGCTGGAACGCGAGGTGGAGGCGCAGGTGCGGTTGGTGGCAGAGGTGGCCCAGGGACTCAATATGTGCCACCTCCACCTGGTCTGCCTGGTCGCGGACATCCTAGCGGTGATTTCAATCCTGAAACTGGCTACAACTATTAATATTCTACTAATGTTGATTCCAACTTCTCTACAACGAACATTTTTCTTTAAAAACAACATCTGCCACAAATACTCGTCCTTAGCATTTAATTAATTTCAGTATTCACCAAATGATTTTTCTTGCACTATTTTCACGACTAATGTAAAAGCACAAGATAGAAGGTATATTTATTTTATAAATCTCTTTAACTTTGCCGTATGATAAAGTAAAAGTTCTTAGCTGCGTAAGTCATTGTTTTATATTTTTTCATATATACATATATGGCTAGTGAAACTAAGAATAATGTATACAAAAATTAAAAAAGAAAAAAGCAAAAAAAAAAAAAAAATGAAAGCATCTTTTCACGAAACTTTTACCAACAAAATTGCAGTTGAAACATTGGAAGTTTTAGAGGAAATAAAATCCGAAAACTAAAATATCCTACATGTAATCAATCCCATCAAGGTACCAAACTTTGAAGAAACACGTTTGATATTTCACAAAATTATCGACGATTTTAATCGCGATTCGCTCACATTTGATGAAAAGAGTAGATATATTGGGACAAAGCTTAACTAAAGCATGAGCGAGAGCTTTTCCGAGGATAAAAACGTTTCCAACGGTGGGAATAATTTCAGGAATGAGAAAAATACAATCTATTGGATTTTCTTTACATGCATTTCATGTCTTTCAATTACTACTAAGATACCAAACATAATTTATTCAACACTAACACCACTACTTTCTGAACATATAAAATATATATTCACTTAATGAACATGCAGAATATAAAGGCTGCTTCTATTATTTCTATTCTTGGCTTACGAGGCGATTTACTATATTATTTCTTAAAAATAGTTT